TATTAAACTCTGCATTCTGCCCCCAGAGTCCATACGGCTCTCACAGTAAGCAGCGATTGTTTCTCTAAACAGCAGTAACCGGTTGGGCTTTGTAGCGTGGACGTAATGTGTTTCCTGTGAGGTACGGACCGAGTTTATATGTATAGAATTGTTTAGAAGAAATCCAGCCTTTAAAGAGTTAAATACTCGATAATGCGTTTTAAATGCATCCTACATGCCCAGCTTCGATTTCATCTGGGTCGGACTTGACTGACTTTCGGGCCCTCTGGTAAGGAGGGTCCCTCAGCGCTATGGCGTCTCCTCGTCGACTCCAGAATCCTTTTCTACAAGTGACTGACGTCCGGCTCAGGACACGAAGTTCCAACCGCGCGTGCGCACGAACCCAGCCCCGTTCCGAAGTGAAGGTCTCAGAAGAAGAATAAGAAGGGGGAAGAAAGGGGACGAGAACAAATAAAAACAAAAATAACGTGAAGAAATAAGGAAAATGAAAATGAAATGAAATTATGGCTAACACGAAACAGATTATGTAAATCGAAAGATGAGAAGATCAGAAACGGAAACGAAGAGACTGAGGAAGATGGGGAGATTAGAAATAGAATGGAGAGCATGACGAGGAGATTGAGGAAGAGCGGAAGAATAAAGAAAACATAAGAATATCACGTTTCATGCCCGTTCCATAATCTCCACATTTCTCTTGTACAACAAACGGAGACAAGGAAACACATGAAAAGAGACTGGGCAGTTGCGGCCACCTGCACCCACCAAACGTTGCAGGAACCTGAGAGTTAAAAGTTCGAAGTTTCGCTCTCGCCACGACATGAAACTTACGTGTGTTTCATATGTGAAAGGAAACAGGAATCTACGTGAGATTAGGAGAGGCCGCGAAACAAACTGAAGTCCCATCCCTCCAGAGGGAAGTGACAAAACAGACCGCCGTTTCCCTGGAGAAGCAAGTACAGGGTGTTGCACCTGATCCCTCCAGAGGGAAGTGAGAGGACAGACCGCCATTTTCCTGGAGAAGCAAGTACAGGGTGTTGCACCTGATCCCTCCAGAGGGAAGTGAGAGGACAGACCGCCATTTTCCTGGAGAAGCAAGTACAGGGTGTTGCACCTGATCCCTCCAGAGGGAAGTGAGAGGACAGACCGCCATTTTCCTGGAGAAGCAAGTACAGGGTGTTGCACCTGATCTCTCCAGAGGGAAGTGACAGGACAGACCGCCGTTTCCCTGGAGAAACAAGTACAGGGTGTTGCACGGCCGCATGGCATGTCATAATGCTGACTGTGCTGCTCTGTTACACTCGGTGCACCTCATGCTGACTTTAAGGCAACTGTCAGCGTGCGTCAGAGTATTGCGAGGGCGCCGAAACGTATTGCGGTCGGATCCAGTCGGGAGTTGTGACCTGTGTTTATGCCACTTGCGCCTGGCTGTTCACTCCGTAATGATAGCAAGACACACTAATATGTAAAAGGTAAACAATATAATTAAGCACTACACCATGAAGGTGTATGGGGGAGTGGATGTATAGATCCATATTTCCTTGACCTCGGCACTAGTTAGATGTGAGTGGTCAGCTTCACGCCTCGACCGCTTTACCCAAGTGGAAAGGGACCCCGGTACCAATTGGGTAGGAGGCTGGGTGTGCCCCAGAGCCGGTCTGGACTACGTGGAGACGCCCTACCCGGACTCGAGCTCCGACCACTCGTCTGTCAAGCCCGTAGCCAGTTACTATACCACTGAGCTAATATGTAGGTCTTTAAGCCTACTGTGTTATCCGGCATTTCTTTTTTGCACTAACTCACAAGTGTCCAATTCGGTCTTAGATGACATAATTATCAGTTAATGAAAATGTCCTTCCGTAAGTAAAAAGGTAAAGTTATCCCTGTAACAGTACGTGGAGGCCCATGGGGTTGTGAGACGTCGAGGCCCCCACATTTTCTAGACAGTCGGTTCACAGATGGTGGTTTGGTCAGCCTTACGCGCCGGCCGCCCTTTACCCCCAGGAAGATTCCTGATACTCATTTCTGTTAGAGGCTGAGTCGACCCCAGGACCATAGTGCGGCCAGAAGGATTAAGTCTGTTAGCAATTTTCATTCTGAAAGCCCCCATTTTGGAAATATCTGTTGATAAAAGGCAGGTGCTTCGGAACAATGTTGGAGATCTTGTTGCTTTGTTATGTAAATGCGGTGGGACATGCCCCAACCTGGGCTCTGTCTCCGCAAGGGCATGGAGCCTTAAGTTCCACAAGAATCAGTCACATGTCCCAGATTTGATCGGCACTCTCTTTAAGATATGCCTACATATTTGTTTCCGTCTCATTTAGTCCTAGGTCTACCAAGTGCTCTGTTTCTTTCATATTTCTTCGACTACTCTTTTGCGTATATTTACCATTGCTCCCATGCATGCTACACGCCCCTCCCATCTTAATATCCCTCATTCATAAAGCCAATATTGTATGATGGCGGGAACAACTCTTTTTCTTCCCCATGAAATGTCTCCCCACCCAAATTATGTCGAAATGTTCCACCCACCGCCATCTGCAACAGGCTACAGCGCTCCCTTACATTCTGCAAAACATACAAGCACAGAACTCGAGGCCTCTACATTAACAGCCGCCAGTGTCGGCCATGTTGGTGAAACCTAGTCCACGAATGCGTTGCCAGCTTAGGACGAGGGACAGGGCTTTCAATTGATGATATGTTCATTCTAGGGAGCCGGTATAGCGTAGTCGGTATAGCGACTGGCTAAGGGAAGGACGAGCGAGGGGTCGGACTTCGAGTCCCGGTATGGTCAAGAATTTTATCTTCACGCTGTCCAGATCAGCTCTCGGGGTCCACTGAGCTTCCTATACAATGGGTACCGGAGGTAAAGCGGCCAAGGCGTGAAGCTGGCCACTCACATCCAACTAGTGCCGAGGTCAAGAAAATTTGGATCTATACATCCACTCCCCCATACGCCTTTATTGCGTAGTGCTTAATTAGTTAAGCACAGGCACAACTTTACCTTTTTATGTTCAATCTAGCCTTGTATTTGCTGATGAAAACACCTTAAGACAAAATAATTCATTCGAAACTTAGTCTTAAATGTAACTTTTAAGTTGTTATTATCTTTCTGTAATATTTTTAAATTCGAAGGATTGATTCATCATCATCGCTGGTTCGACAGTCCTGCCAGCTGTTACTGCCTCAGTTTTCATGCCAGCATTTCTCCTCCATGCTGGGCTAGCAGCCACACGCCCAATCCCCAACAATCCCTCAGCTGGTTGGTCCCAATTTGGAAGCGTCCTTGCAAGACTCAGCGGTGAATAAGAGTTGACCCCGGGGTCACGACGTGGACTTGCATGCGTCGGGCGTTCCGAGATATGGTAGCACACATGCACCCTCGGGGCCGCCCCCTCCGCAGAAGGATGTATTGATGTTATCGAAACATCACCTCAGCTGCTGGTTCACGGAGCAGCAGCGGTAGTGCAGACCTGGTTTCGTATCCTGCTAGGGGTATGGACCCATGTCCGCGACGACTGCGACATACTCGTGAACGGCTCTTGTTAGTAGTGTGAACACAACGTCCCTTTGTGCCTATACGAACTTCCTGAGCTACCTGGGTTGGCCTGTACCTTACAGAAATGTTGTCCACTATCCATTATCACCTTGTGGCCTTACAAAACTCGCTCCACTCTTCTCCAAATTTATGTGCTGGTATGTCCCTCCATGGGTGGCCGAGTTCTAAGGTTCCGCCTGCCCCATTCCTGTCTTCAGAAGCCGTCAGATCGCCCCCGCCCCCACCCCCACCGCCGCTCTCCTCAGAGATACAGGCCCGCACAAAATCGGATAGCTCTTCAATCGAAGTGGCGGACACTTCCTCGGTTCCCGGAGGGGGGGGAGGATTTTCTTTCCTAAGGACGATTTATGGAACTCTTTTGCTTTATGCAGAGAAATAAGACTTTTGAAATATTCTGTGATAGCATAGATGTAAATATGTATTGAATTTCAGTCCGCGGCTGGTAAGAATTTTGTGCCCGCTTTCCCAGAATGTGAACTCTGACGGTGACTCGCCCTGCTTCGAGGCGTGAATTTCTGTTAGAAACTTGACAGGAGCCTTTTCTGCTGCAGTCATACGCGTCTCAACAGCCCCTCGCGAGGAACACGACGCCGACTTTGAGACACCACAGATTAGCGAAGGGCTTTCAGCTGAGCACACGAACACACACAAGGAGCTTTGGAAAGAGAACCTTGTTAGAGATCGCTTGGAGGATGAATGCATGCCAGGGGGAAGTAGGCTGTTCATATAGACTGAATTTCATTAACTGGAATGGGGCTTCGTTGCAGTTGTCCGTGCTGATGGTGAAGCTCTCAGGTCTAGTCTACAGGGCCGGTTTCAACTGCTTGTTCCATGACGGCGGCCTATCTACGATATATGGCATCGAATAGAAGCATGATGATGAACTGGAAGGAAGTGGTCGTGGCCAAATCGAGGTACTACCCTGGAGTTTTCCTGAGGAAATGAGAATACGAATGTGGCAAGTTACATGACCACGTCTTGTGTAATACAGTAAACCGTCGCTAATCCGGATTAACTGGGTGGATTCACCTGGATTAAAGAAGTAAAAGGTAATTCTAAAAGCCAAAACCTAGAACACAAATAAATGGAAAATTTAATAAACATAGGTAGTGCTGATAAAAATAAATAAGAAAATATCACTAGCAATTTCTCCTTCATCCAGCTGAAGCCAATCCTGGGTATAGTTGCTTCCGCGGGTTCAGTCTCTCCAGCTGCCCTCAACTCAAAGTGCTCTTGCCCCTAAATCCCACGTGTCTTTTTATAGGGTGTACTCAACTGTGAACAGAATTTTCCACGTTTCTGATTTCGATCCGGATTAGCGAGGGTTTCCCGCACTTCTACTGGACTCAGTTTGGAAGGAGAAGTGGCGATGAATGCGACGCAGTACTTATCCTTGCATTGGTAAATTGCGAGATATAGTTTCAGGTTGCCTGTTGCAACTCACCGACTGCATCGCCCTCCCTACACAGCGGCAGCCTCTCCAGGACCGCCTGAGTTTGCGGCCACGTGACGACGCCTGGAGCTTCCTCCTGATGCAAGCCGCAAGGCTCCTCAGGGGATATCCGGTTCTCACATTCCTGCAACAACACCGAGTAACTGTTTAGTTCCTTCTGCCTCCACAAGAGCTCCTCCGTTTCGACACTTTTGCATTAGACTCCTTCAGTAATCCTCTTTAGTATCAGTCCGTCTTATTTCAATCAGATTTCCTAGTGATACTCATCGAACCACAGGGTGATTATAAATTACTGTCGGGGATTCCGTGGCCTATAATTTTCAAACCGGGAAAAAGCAACATAAGAAACTGCTTCTGGAATATGGAACATGAGAGAGGCGCGAGTACTGCGTTGCCGAATAAAATTTTCTGAGTAACATTTTCATACTCCGTAAGCGGTTTTATTTTATTGCTTCCGGTTTGACAGTTATCTGACAGTGAACTATCTTCTGTGATGTGACACCGTGCAATCCTGTGGAAGCTTACCGACGTTTCGCAGGAAAGTACTGCCTCCATCTTCACGGTCGAAGACTAAGCTGAACATGCGGGCAGAAGACAGAGTACGTAGCTACGAGTAGTTACGTGTTGTACTCTGAGCGCTCTCTCGACTTTAAGATGGATAAACTATTACGAGACTACACGGCGTCACTTATCAGAATATGGTACGTTTCCTTGTGCACTGTTTACTGTTTGAAGTCCAGACTACGTCTGCAGGGTTCCGGGAACTGATCCCTCTTCAGGTAAAAAGGAAGGCGAAGGGAATGAACATTTAGTCGGCCGATAGTCCTGAAGATGAAGGCAGAGCCGGCCTCCGAAACATTGTATATATTATCTGTACCCCACATGCTGATCATGGGAATACACATCGCTGTCATGAACAGTTCAGTTCTGCGCATGTGTACCAGAATATTGCTGTATATACATATATAATTTGATTTACAGGTGTGCTCTCTTCAGTCCCTCTCGGGGTGGTGTGCGCTGAAGGGTGTGCGGAGGAACCCTCGCCTCTCACAAAGCATGGCGATTTGCATGAGAAGCCCCTGGGCTCCCCCTGCAAGCTTCATTATTTGTCAGTTTGGATTTTTTACCGTTTATAGTTGTTGGGGGCAACGGAGCAAGAAAATGCCAACGTTTGTCACATCAGATAACGGAGAGGATCTTGTCTCATTGTTGGATACTGGATTACTAGGGGTTGCTTCGGGTTTGGGGAGGGGGTTAACTCATACAACAAAGCAGTTCCCCTTCTCCGGACGTCCAAATGTTTCAAACTACAGCCCTTCTATAATGTTGAGTGTTTGGTCGTAAGCATCCACTCTGGGTGGGCCAATAATATGTCATCATTTTGTTGGGTCGCATGCACGCACGCACGGGGCTGGCCCATACATATGGAACAGACTGCACCCCTCACAACAGCAGGCATTAGGCCTACATGAGTAACCCATAACACAGGCGGTGATGGGGTTTTCGGGGGATCACCATTGTACAGGGTTCGGACGTCAATTCGTTATCATAACGCTAATGAGATTACCCCCTTCACCCCTCTCGAAAAGTCTGTCTACAGTGGGGTTACACCGTACAGTCTGTAAACAAACAGAAGTGAACACAATTAACTGACTTCTTCCTCAGTTCAATGGGCGACACTGCGGCTCCACGTGTTCCCAAGGAGAACACAGTGAACAGTTCGGCTCTGTTGATGTTGTGTTCTGGAGACGTTACACAAACCTTGCACACATGAGATGAGAAGGTAAATGTGCAGAATCATATTTTCTGGGATGGGACACCGTACAGTCTCGTGCGAGTTTCTTTAGGGCCAGGAACACGGCAACCAGCAGACAGCTGTTCACACGCACCGACAAGAAAACCAACAGAAGTCAGTGTTCTTCGGTTGCTCCACGGCGACCCCTCCTGCCGGAATCTGCAACTACGACACTTTAGCGAAGCTGTTCCAACTACTGAGGTTGTATCGTATGGAATAAGAAATGAGCTGTCTGCTGAAACAGGACGGGGAAGAAAACGCCGAGGTGTGCGTCCAGTGACTGCAGGTAAGGTTATCAGTTTGTTGCACATGAAGGCCGCGGGGCTGGGAAGCGAAAGGCGACCGTCTAGCGCTTCGTGGATTGAACCAAACAAACTGTAGACATCCTAAATAACACCTAAAAATTTGTGATATAATTATTGTGTTCCTGGACAGCATCCTCCGTCCTGTTTCTTGGTTTCAGACACAACTTTTGGCAGACTAGGAACTAGCTTCCTCGATTGGGCCCAAAGGAGTATCCATTAACCTGAAGACTGTCACAGAGTCCAGTTTCCGAAACGTTGCGTATTTTAAATAAAATAACAGGGCGCTGTATAACGCCCGAAAACACATAACTGTAGAAATGATCTTAATGCGCTCTTCCGCGGACCGGGGGACACCAACTGCTAAGCAACGACCACCGGTGTGTGATCCTGTTTACCTGAACTTCTCGTGACTGCATGATGCCCTTGCCAAGTACTTCACAACATGTGGTTCGCGAAATCAAATCCATGGGGCTCGCGGAAATGTATTAGTAATGTGGTGTCATTTGTATTCTTAGTCTATATGATATGTGTAAAGAGAATATAGAAAGAATCGGTACTAAGCGACTTATTCTAAGAAATTGATGATAACAATAATAAAATGCGGACTGCATAGAAAACACAGCGTTCAAGATTTTTTCTATTGTTGCGTGTGAATTCGTTGCATCGGGGACTTTTTTACTGAGCCGCTGCCTAGCATTGAAGGGCACACAGCGTGGAGCGAGGGTTATTCTTGTAAGCGTGGATCAGACGAAAGAGTCGGACGCCACAACTTTGAAGTTGGGCCCATAAGTGAGAAGTTCGCGTCACGAACGCGCTATCTGGGAAACTCACTTCATTGTCATTATTATAATTACTGGTGGTGGCATTGTCATTATTACGCGGAGAATAAATAATGAGGGCGCTTACAGACAAACAAACTAACTAACAAGTAATCTGGACGGCAGAACGAGTAGCCTTAACGTTCCTGTTGTTCAGCCAGTAGACCTGTTGTTAGAACGATTATATCAATGACATATGGAGAATCTCCCTCATATGTGCCACGTGACCCATCCTTGTCATGCACGTGTGTTTCACGTCTCAGCTCTAACAGACGCTGCACAATACACACGTATTTCTCCTATGCTGAGGTTGCCGCGAATTTTCCCACCTATAATTACATGTGATTTTCTTGTATCACCATGCGTGCAACATGGCTACCTTGCCTGTCTCGCCGTGATCTGATGATACTACCAATCTGAGCCGAAGAGCGAGTGATTCACGTTCCGGCCTCCCCCAACTGACTGATCCGTGACGGGTACCGTGCACAACAGAGCCATCTGCGCCAAAGCTGCGCGCGCATTCTCATGAGTTTGCAAATGGTTCTGAAGCTAGTTCCTAGCTGTCTCAGCCATCGGAGCGCTCGCTTGAACCTACAGCCTCACCACCATCTGGTGTGACATGTCAGCGCTACTGGAAGAATGTAGTGCTGTTGTCAGACCTCCGACTGAACATCAGATGGCGTGGGATTGTGACAGCGAAGGAAACTTCCGGACCATATCAATCGGAACAGAAGCCGAGAGCGAGGACATATCCGGTCCTTCCTGAGAAGACATGCGTCCTCATGCCACACCTCTAGGCACAACGGTGGTTCCAAAGGCCAACCAGAGCCAACATTCTCTGCAGAATCCCGAGGCAGCCACAAGAGAAATTCAGAGAATTTATCCCCGGTTAGTTTGACATCCCTACATAACCGCTTTCCTTTGAAAGAAAATCAAGCCACGGACCACGGAAGGTGAGGTCCATGCAGTTAACCTTAACACATCCAACACTCCTATTGCACTTCGCCTGAAGGTTCTGTGTGAAGCTTGGGAGTGCTGTGGGAGCCACAGTGCCACAACTGCCACCCTTCTGACCACATTTAGACCAGTGGGGTGCCGCATCCAGACAGCGTTACCGTGTCTTCTCCCCTCCGGGATTCTTCATGGGTATGACAACGCCTTGAAAGGACGTAGCAGGACTCGAAAGCGAGACCGGCCGGTACACTCAAGCACCAGGCAACGAAAATCAAGGAAGCCAGCGCCAAACTAGCACTACTGGTAGTGTGTTAATGGCTGTTGCTAGGCAACGACTGCGAAACAAGCATCTATACAATGGCCGTTGCTAAGTAAAGGCTTCACAAACAAACATGCTTACATGGCAAAAGAGGAACGGTGTTTTCTACAAGATCCGTACATAGCTCTTATAAGCAGGGCCAGTTAGATGTTGTGATAGAAGCTGGCAAATAGGCCGGGGACAGTTCAGGCACCCAGGAGAAGGGGAACGTCAGTTGTTGAAGCCGCTACCAAGCAACAGCAGTGAATGAGTTACTGTGGACACAACTGTGTGTATGTGCAACACTGTGCTGTAGAGTGTAGTCACGCTCTGTAACAAAGAGTTCAATAAAGCCGATTATCAATCCAAAGCCCGTCTATAGCCACTCTATCACGTGACAATATTTGTCCCTTCTCATCCTCGGAAAGGAAGCGGCGACTTCGCTCCGTGTCAACACCTGTTCCAGAAGCCAAACACAGCACGGAGCAACGTGAAACCACCGGGCTGTGCTGCTTCTTGAGGAAGGCACTGACGGGGGTCAGCGAATCTTGTCTTCAGTACGCCTACAGATTCATAATCTGATATCAGGGGCACCCACCACCGCGACACTCCACTACCTGTCCCGTCAAGATGGCGTCCTGCTCACTACACTTACAGGACTGAAGTTGTTTCTCACATGCTTGCTACACGCCTGATCCATCTAAGTTTTCTTAACTTGATCCCCTTGTAGAAACATATCGAATAGCGTTAATCTACTTTCCTTATTTTGAAGTAGGCTTATGCCATCACCTTGCTGTCTGCGTGTCTGTGTAGGCCCCCTATTAACTTTTGAATGCATGAACCAATTTTTAAGAAACTCGTTATGTATACCACAGCATCTGAGCGCGTCTCAACAGTGCACTTCATAAATCCCTCCCCTCAGTCTGTCTGTATGTGTATCCCTCTTATCGTTGCTAGGCAATGGCTCGATAAAAACGTTACCGCGACAATAGACATATCCAGCAGTACAACGCATGCAGTAACAGGAGCAAAACACAACACAGAACACGATACACAAATGCATGTAGGAAGAATGCTCACATAAAAGAGGATTGGCGTAATTCGCGTGTTTGAGTGCGATGTAGGATGAATCCTGAAAAGTTTTATTATTTAGAATTCATCGACATATATGACGAATACAGATTTTAGTCATTTTAGAATGAAGGCATCATGGCATGCAGTACAATAGTTTAACGTGCATAAAGACACCTGAGGATGGCACATTAGTGCTGAAACATGTAGTGTGGAAGTGAAGAATAAGGTGAAAAAGTGTATACACTGTAAGACGGTTAGCATAAACCATGGACATGAATCAGTGTAACAGGACGCTAAAATATGACATTTTTAATAGAAGAACTGCTGAAGGTGCCGTTTTCTGTGCGGTCCGTGTCGCGTCAGATAGCCTCCCGAAGCGCAACGTAACATTACTGTCCGCACGTAAGTACGCTCTCACCTGGCGCAGTCCACACACTGCGTACGTGGCGCTGGTGTCGAACTTGGGCTCCGCTTCTGCCGCCTTCTCTCTGCGCAGTGTCAGCACGTAGGTGTTCAGGATGGCCCCGGTCAGCGTGTCCTGCAAGAGCACGGAGATCCTGTTGGGGCCTAGCCCCAGCGTGGTGTTCAGTGCCCTGTGAACACACCACAACACATTTCAGACACAGCGCTGTGCCAGTGTGCAGGGCTCAGGCAGGCTGCCGGACACTTGACACTCCTGTAGTTCAGCCAATGGCAGGCGGGAGCAGCACTCGAACAGGTCGCAGAAAGACACGTCAAATTGGGTGTTAAACGAAACAGTGCTACAGGCAACGTTATAGTAATGGCACGCGAGTAATCACAGTGCTTTGCAAACCAGTCATATTTATAAATCTGTTTCATTCGTGTCGCTTTACCGAGGATTTGTTCCAGTCATTTAAAACGCTTATACTATACTACGTGCATGTGTACATAGATGTCTCTTGCGCATAGAATTGGTTCGCATACACCGGAGGGTAGAGCGCATGCGCTAAAATCAGTCACTTGCTTTTCAAGTGACTGTAAAGTGATATAACACTCTAAATCTACCTACCTCAACTTAGCTTTAAAGCAAATGCCCCTCCGAACAAAACGTGCTGCAATATTGACGATTCAATTATTTATTGTATGATCGATTTTGAAATTATATTTAAAAATTCATCGTTTTATTACTTTTCATGAAAGTATTATATCTTCTTTGTTCGCCAAACGCTGGGGTACTTATGTACCTATAATTGGTGGGTGCACTCAGTTCTGCTTCTCATAGATTTTACAGCGAAGCAGCCAGCCTCCATAATCCCACAGGCTTAGTGACAAGAACGCACGTAAACTTGTTATGATAGCAAGGCCAAGGCATTGACCACACTGGGCTGGGCTGTGGAACTTTTGGCAGCCGGAGGTGCCAAGCGGCGTGCACAGAACATCTCGAAGCTGTTTCTGTTCTCGTTAATGTTAGGTTTACGTAGGTGGTCGTTGGGGGGGGAGGGGAAAATGGCATCGTCCGAACGCGTTCAGAAACCGCCAAGAGTGTCACAACCTGGTACGTCAGCCAACAATGCCAATATGCATTGGCTTCTATAGAAAGCCATGCTTGTAAGGCCGCGCCATAGCTCAAGCGGTTAGTCGCTGGCTTCCCGGGTCTGGTCAAGTGGGGTTTGTGGTGGACAAAGTGGCGCTGGACTAGGTTTTCTCCGAGCACTTCGGTTTCCACTGCCAATCTTCATTCAACCAAATTCCACATCATCATAATCACCCGGGGAATGTACAATAGGGCAATCAGTGGCCGCCGTGCCGAGTGGACCCAGCTGGACTCAACCCCCCCCCCCACTAAGCGAATTAAAAAATAAAAGTCATGATTCGAAGTAGGAGAAGAAGGTATATTTTATGAAAGAAAACGTTAGCATTTCGATGACGTGGGAGTTCTGGAAATCTCCATGGAAACTTTAGTTAGTTTTTTTTTAAGTTGAATGTTGTTTTTTTGGAATAAGAGGCTGCACCTCTTCCAATGTGTTTACCATTTATGTTCTGTTTCATTTAAATATAAAAAAATCAGCGTTTTGGTGGTGGGGGGGGTTAGGCTATTTACTTGTATCATTAAGATCAGCTGCGCCTGCACTAGTTCGTGAAGTGCACTGGTCACTGTAACTAGTATCTTCACCTTGCTAGAACTGAGTGACATTTCCTTCAAAGCCCAGGCAAACACACGAAAGATTGGGAACTGTATTGCAAGTCTCAATGCTAGCTAAGGTCCACGGGCAGCGAACGTTTCTGGCAGCAAACCCGCTGACTATCCTGTCTGGAATTTCAACTGCACGCATGTGATGAGGTTCCCCAAAGATGAACGTCACAATTTCGATCTCCTGGGATGTGACGCCGTATTAATTTGCAGATGAGTAGCAACATTTCAGAGGAACCCACTGCTTCCA